TAAAGAGCTTCACTTTGCATTTTTCCTGTAATTCTGATGGTGTCCTATGCCCACTTGGCATTCTGATGTCTAATTTCTCCATTTGCTGAAGTCTGTCCTTATAGTCCATAACGTTTTATCACTAAATGATCTGACTGCTCAAATGTTCCCATTTCTTTGTCTGATAGTTATTGTACCTTTGCAAAAAAGAACTGTGCTCCAGAAAATACAAATAACTTATATTGAGCTGATTTAAGTGTGAAAATGCTAACTAACAGTTAAGGATAGCAGTATAAAATTCTAATTTTTGCGGTTAAACCATTTCTTTTGTTTTCTCAGTATGATCGCCCTGGAGCATCCCCAAAAAGAAACCACGATGGAGAATGCACAGCTGTCCCAAGTGAGTCTGATAAGAGATAAAAGTAGCAATATTTCACTGTTGTAAGAATTCAAATTTCACATAAAGCACTTTGTAAGGATTTCAGCTGCAGTTTTTGTTATTAGAATGCTTTTGCATTTGACTCAGCTGTCTGCAGTCTAGGAGGTGGGCACGTGAAACAGTGGTGTTGCTCATGCCTTTGGTAATGGAATGATACTAAATGCCTACTGGAAGTAGGAAGGGTGAGTTAGCCTTCACTCCCTTTGTACTTCCAAAATGGAAATCTTTCTCTTTAATGTCTAGCAAATCGACAAATTGAAATCCTGGAGCTGGAAGATCTGGAGAGAGAATGCTCCTTGGCTCGCATCCGCCTCACCCTGGCTCGGCATGACTCATCAGCAATTGCAGTTGCCGGTAAGAATTGAGCACCTGTCAGTACCAAAGCACATCTTAGGACCAGGCTGTGGGTCTGCAGTGATAGGAAGGCACAGAGCAGGTCTTGTCTGAAATGTTCATCAACAAAGTTGTTTATATATATTTGCCTGTTTTCCACAGGTGGCACTAACTGGACTTTTTCCGTTTCCACAGGAAGTTCTTCAGCAGAGGAGATGGTCACCCTCTTGGTTCAGGCTGGCCTCTTTGACACTGCCCTATCACTCTGTCAAACTTTCAAGCTTCCCTTAACACCAGTCTTTGAGGGACTTGCTTTCAAGTATGTGTAAACTTACCTTTTTGCCTTTTTTTCTAACCAGAAAATATATACTGGTGCCTAATAAGTAGTCACAAGCCAGTAATCTTTAAATTCTGATTAAAATTACAGGGATTTTAGACCTTCTTGAAATTTGGATGTGTAGCTGCTCTTGAGAACTCAGAGGAGTTAATATCCTTGTGTTGACATTGCCAAATAACAAATAACCTGAGTTAGTTACATAGAGAGGTCCACTTAGACAGGCATATCACCTGCTCACTTCAGTCCTTTCGAAAATCATCAAACCTATAAGCATTAAAGCATTTCTTACTTAAATTAGCCAAGATGCTGGGGTGGAGTATTCTATTACATGTTAGCCTGCTAGCTGAGAGGTTGGCAGTCTGAATACACTAACATCTGTGAAGGAGAAAGATGGACAATAACCTGTTAAGATTTCTAGTTTTGGAAACCTGAGGGAGGGCCATGGAGTCAGAATATCGGTGACAACAGTGCATTACACTTAACTCTTCAGCAAGTAATAGTTGCTCAGTGCCGTCAAGTAGTCTATGAGTTGGAAATATTGTAAAACTTTGAGAATGTTTGAAGAGTCATTTCCTCTCAGAAGTAAATAATCTTAAAAAAAAAAA